ACGAATTCAGGATAGCCCTCACCAATAGGTTCCAGGCCTTTCAGGATCTACATAATGGAGAGGACGCAACATTGGAGAACAATTGGAAAGGGATTAAGGAGGAAATCACTTCAACATGTCACGAAGTTCTGGATCACAAGAAGTACCATCACAGGGAATGGATCTCTGTTGATTCTCTTGCGAAAATTGAAGAAAGGAGGAGCAAGAAGGCAGCAAACAATGTCAACCGAACAAGTGCGGAGAAAGCTAACGCACAAGCTGCATACACAGAAGAAAACAGGGAAGTGAAAAAGAGCATCAAAGCTGACAAACGAAAATATGTGGAAGATCTAGCAATGACGGCGGAAAAGGCTGCAAGAGAAGGAAACATGAGACAATTGTACGAAACAACAAAGAAGCTCGCCGGAAACTATCGTAAACCAGAACGACCAGTGAAAAGCAAGGAAGGCAAAGTAATCAGCAACACTGAACAACAGCGAAATAGGTGGGTAGAGCACTTTAAGGAACTACTGAATCGACCAGCTCCACTGAACACACCCAACATCGAAGCGGCATCCACGGATCTCCCAATTAATATTGGCGCACCTACGATTGAGGAGATCAGTATGGCCATCAGACAAATCAAGAACGGCAAAGCAGCAGGACCAGACAACATTCCAGCAGAGGCAATGAAAGCAGATGTGGAAGCAACTGCGAAAATATTTCACATCCTCTTCAAGAAAATTCGGGATGAGGAACAATACCATCAGATTGGAAAGAAGGATACCTCATCAAAATACCAAAGAAAGGCGATCTCAGCAAGTGTGAAAACTACAGAGGCATCACTCTTCTTTCAATACCAAGCAAAGTCTTCAATAGGTTATTGTTAAACAGAATGAAGGACTTCGTAGACGCCCAACTTCGAGATCAACAGGCCGAATTTCGTAAGGATCGATCGTGTACTGACCAAATTGCTACATTACGGATCATTGTGAAACGATCAATTGAATGTAACTCATCACTATACATCAACTTCATCGACTACGAGAAAGCATTCGAAAGCGTGGATAGGAAAACACTATGGAGGCTTCTTCGACACTACGGTGTGCCTGAGAAAATAGTCAACATCATACGGAATTCTTATGATGGATTCACCTGCAAAATCGTACACAGAGGTCAGCTGACAGACTCTTTCGAGGTGAAGACCGGTGTCAGGCAAGGCTGCTTACTCTCACCCTTCCTCTTTCTCCTGGTCATCGACTGGATTATGAAGACGTCAACATCTGGAGGGAAGCACGGTATCAACTGGACAGTTAGGGACGCAGCTGGACGATCTGGACTTCGCAGATGACCTGACTCTTCTATCGCACACGCAACAACAAATGTAAGAGAAGACGACCAGTGTAGCAGCAGCCTCTGCAGCAGTAGGTCTCAACATACATAAAGGAAAAAGCTAGATTCTCCGATGCAACACAACATGCACCAACCAAATCACTCTTCATGGAGATGCTTTCGAGGACGTCAACACCTTTACATATCTGGGCAGCATCATCGACAATCAAGGTGGATCCGATGCAGATGTGAGGGCGCGGATTGGCAAAGCAATGGCTGCATTTCTACAGTTGAAAAATATCTGGAACTCCAAACAACTGTCAACCAAAACCAAAATCAGGATTTTCAATACAAATGTCAAGACAGTTCCATTGTAAGGAGCGGAAACTTGGAGAACTACGAAAGCCATCATCCAGAAGGTAAAAGTATTTATTAACAGCTGTCTTCGCAAATTAATGCGGATTCGGTGACCAGACAACATTATCAACAATTTAATTTGGGAGAGAACAAAACAGATTCCAGTGAAGGAGGAAATCGGGAAGAAGCGGTGGAAGTGGATAGGACACACTCTACGAAAATCACCTACCTGCGTCACGAGACAAGCCCTCACATAGAACCCTAAGGGCAAAAGGAAAAGAGGAAGGCGAAGGAACACATAGAGAAAGATATGAGAAGAATGAACAAACATTCGACAGAACTGGAAAAGGAAGCCCAGGACAGAGTTGGTTGGAGAAAACTGGTGGGCGGCCCGTGCTCCATTGTGGGTAACAGGCGTAAGTATGTAAGTAAGTCTGGAAGCTCTATACCTTTCTACTGTACAAATTACAGGTTTTCTAACACAAAGCAGATGATCTGTGCAAAGGAATTAAAAACAACAAGTCAGTCAAGTGCTAATTTTACATTCTATTTATTCAGATTTATAGGTTTGTTTGATTGTTTTGATTGTTTACCTGCAGTAGTCTTTCGTACTAAATGCACATGCACTAGCAAAATTGTATAATCCCAGAGCTAAGCTGCTGTTATGTAGTTGATTTATGAGGACAGTCACTTTAGCTGATTGACTAGAGATAGTTTAAACTACTTTTCCTACTTCTACTAAGCTGAATGGATTATATTTATGTCTGTAATTTTTATAAATTTGTATCATCATGCCGCATTTGCCCTGCTAAAGCTAATGAGGACGTTCCATCCATGACGAATACCGAATTTCTCAGTTTATTCAGGGATAGTTGTGCTTTTTCGTCTTTCAGACTAAATCAAGTTAAAACATCTGAGCTACCCGTTTCCTTAAATGCCGGCAGCTTCCGCATGTCCATGCCTTTGGCGGACTCCAGTCGACTTCCTAGACCTCAGTCGAGGCCACAGAACTGATCACCTTTGTGTCCACCTTCAGTATGTAAGAAAATGCTGGCACATATGTTATTATATTATCAATGAACACAGACTATAAGACTACATGATCACGCCTTGTAAGTAAAGTACTTGGTCTCCTAACAACATTCATGTCAGAATCAAGCCCGAAACAGAAAAGTAGTATGTATAATCTCCGATGTGCTATACTAAAGCTAGGGTGATCTAGAATGATAGCGGTATGTAACTAAATTGTGTTTCTGATTGACTTACCTCTTGGTTAGCCCAATCTGCAAGGATTGCATTACATTGGCAATACAACAACGTAGATCTATGTCGATAGTTGCTGGCCTACCACATGTTGACTTGATAGGATAAACACTCAGTGGGCAGCCCCGTACATTAGTATCAACAGTTAACTGAAGTAGGGGGTGGAACTACTGCTACATGCACCTGTGCATGACATGTAACCACTCGAGAGTTAGTTGTTCCTGGCCTTGGATAGCCTATCAGATTATTTGGCTTGTACCTAGCGATATTTCACAGGTCTTACAAGGAGGTGTTCACATATTTTTGGCCTGGACTGTTGTGTATTTAGGAAGAAATCTTATACTAGACAGTCAAGACTGTTGTATAATACGAGTAGTCCTTGGCCTCGACATTTTGTCTCGCCCTCCACCTTACTAATCCACATATTTCTAGGTCATGTGCCACTGTGTCGAAAACTCGTATGGTTAAAGTGCTTTGCCTCTTTTATAGTTTGGTGTATTTTCTGTCAAATGTAATCAAATACAGTTACACCTAGTTATGACAGTCACCATGGTTCTGAGATGGTGATGTCATCAGTGTAATTTTATTCAGTGGGCTGAGCTTTTACATAGCGAATCGCTAGTTTACTTGGCTGAGCGCCTTTAGTTAGGCCTATATAAAGCAAAATAAATGTATTTAACATCAGTGTTGGAGACTTGCAAAACTATTTGGTTTTCAGACCTGTTTTTTCCTTACATGTTCCAGACTATAAGTTCGTTCAGAGGACCTTTTCAGCTTGAGGAAGGTAAATAAGTTATCTATGAGATCTGTTTTGGTAGGTTTTATTCCTTAAACTCTTCTCTTCGCTGTGATCCGGTTTGATAATGAATATATACTGCATTTTTATTTACTCGATTGCTTGGATATCGCTTTATAATGTGTCTACACCAAATCTTATACGTTAAGCATATTAGGCTCTGGACTAGTACTTGTTTCGTAGATGGGAAATTCCGAATCTGCATCCGACGATCCAACTTTTGGAATTATTTTGTTCACTCTACACACACTTGAGATTTTATATCTAACTTACTGTGCATTGGTGAACCCATCATCTAGTATGTTTTAAGGTGGTCTATCGTAATTTCATCCAAGAGTGAGGCCGAGTTGATAATTGCACTCATGAGATGAACGGGATATGCTATTCTTTTAACTTTTGAAATACCCTTGACAAAGACTTGGTAAACACATACATACGGATTATCATCTCTCTCGAGGACAAGCTGTACCTGATGCATGTCTTGAGACTTTCTAGTTGTCTTAGGTCACTAACTTAATATATCTCGCCTATTATCTCTGTTTCTTCTTCTTCGGTCCTCTATCGGAGTCTTTACTACCAGTTGATGAACTAAATTATCTATATATTACTTAGTTCCGAAATCCTCTTATTAGCATTCGAGTTTTCGCCTTATTATCCTCCACGTCGCAGCTAACTGATCTCCGGTCTGGTACTGTGTTAGCTGCTGGTATCCATAAACCCTACTGCCCTGAAACAAACGTTTTCATTCAATTCACTGGACATATAAACTCACAAATATCTGCCTACTGACTAGAAGTAGACAGTCGAGTGGCTAGACCCCCCTTCATTGGTCACTACCAAACACCTGGAACTGTACTGAAAGAGAAAGAATCGAGCGCAAAGGAGTCAACTGGTTTATACTAGCCTGTGAAAAAGATATTTGATACTGGAGGTCCTTTGAAGACTGAGGACAGCGTCCCACTAACAGTTTCATATCGTTTCTTCCATTTAAGCTGAATTTACATCATATGCCCCTAACAGAGAGCATCAGTAATCTGCTAAAAGTTTTGTTATTAGGCAGAATTTTCTATTCTGTTCGTAACCATTTAAACCGTCTGGTTACCAAGTTATTTGATTCCTAAAGACATTGGAATAATGAACAGAGAGTAAAATAATTTGCGCCTCTTCCTCAACATTCCAATAACATATTTGCAGGTTTTCAAAACATTTGGTTCCATATCTAGCATAATATCATGTGTGTGGTTTGACTGATCTGATGTCACGCCGGCGCGTAGCGGCTCATCGTTTGTTCATGGCCACCGAGCACCCTACTAAGGAACGATTCACCATAACGGATACCGTAAGTTGATTTTGCATTTGTTTCTCATTGGTTTAATGTATTTACAGGAAAAATTAGTAAATTCACGTCTTAATAACTGCGATCAGCCTAAAACCGATTCCCATCTGAAACTAAATGGTTGCTTAGCCAATAAAGACAATCCATGGGTTCGAGGTATGTTTTGCATGTATCCACTTAACTATATGTCAGCCCCATGTTCATCTGGCGATGGTTCTGATTCGACTGCATCCCATGAGGGTGCTGATAATAAAGATCAAGATTGGCCAACTCTTCAAAGTGCTCTTTCACAGGTTTCACAATGCACCAGTAGTACATTAGATGCTTTCTCTAAACATAAGCAAAAAGTAAGTCCTTTTTTCTACAAGATTAACATCTAGTCTACTGCGGTTGGTTCCTGTCAAGTAGATTTAGGTTCTAAACCAATAACCAACCATCAAAAGAAGAAATGGGAACAAGCAACTGTTGAATATATTTTTCCAAAACCTAATGGTGCTGATGGATTTGTCGGTTATCGGTCTGATTCTCATCGATGGAATCGGTCAGGTAATCATAATTCTGATATACATATGAAATAGGTGAACATGATAAGGAAAATTATCATAATGGGAAATCTAAAATTGAAGCTAATAGTTCTGCCGATAAAGAAAGTGTAAATCAAAACCATCTCGGTCAACCGGGAACAAAACCTCGTCCATTTGTTCGTCATATGAGGTTCTCAAAATCTGGTCGACCACAAGTAAGTCTTGATAATTTTTCAATTAAGCAAATATTCTACCAGGTAAGTTCTTTTTTTGTTTCAACATTACTAAACTTCCTTAAACTTTATCGTTTGGTTTTTTCCGATGTAATATTCTTAAACATCAATTTCACTAGGTCGAAACAGCTATTCTTGCTTGAACTAGTCTCGAAACTATGGCATTTAACTCAAAACGTAACTCACCTTTAGAAGTGCTATCACTAAAACAAGCAATATACTTCAAAGTAGGTAATGATGTCTTAAATCCATTCGTCCCATGTCTTTCATATCATAAAATTCACCTTATCTGTCCATCTTTCAGCTCTAAATCTTACTCAGACGTGAATCACATTGAGCTTCTGCTCACTACCATAGGTATTCATGCTTTTGTTGATTGTCTCTTCATTTCTCTGCAAGTTGTGGCGACTTAATAAGCGACATTTGTACTAGGCTGTACGCCTTCAATTTCTTTTCAGACCTTTGCGAATTGTACGTAGTTAACGCAACCCATTTTTGAAAATGTTAGTCTTTATAACACATCTAATGACTTGGTCAGCTAAAACATCAGTTTATTTGAAGTAATTTGGTTGTGTTTAATCTGCTTTCATTGAAAACCTTGCAGTTTTTATTATTGTAAAGCAGTGGTAATCATGTACCAGTCACTATTTTGTGTTGCCCACTTAACTAAATAGAATCTTATTAAAAGTCACTTTCTAAACTGCACTCTTAATTCTAGCGTCGACAAAATACATCTGGTCCCACTGCAACAGTAGCCAACCGTTCCCTACCTGGCCCCAAGAATCCGGAACAAACATACGCTCCAACAAATTTATGGGCTCCAAGCGACATCAGTCTGGTTCCAGACTTGGGTCGTTTAACAACTCAGGGTCGTTCGGCTCCGGGAAGACTTAACAATGTCCCTCCTCACTTGATTCCTATTCCACTATATGGGTCAGCACCTCAAACTTCTTCCCTATCACCTTCATTTCGTAAGTCTAATAATTTTCGCATGAAATTCTCCACTATCACCCCTTTTCTAACTTGCATGTGGTTGTTTTCTTCTTCTGCGCTTCACAACTGCTGTTTGATAATAACCTTAATGCCATTCATTATTTTCATGTTCTTTGCGACTAATGTTACCACTAGTTCAACACAGCTGGTTTAATCTATACTCTTGCACGTGATTCCTAAACCTATGCTTTGTCATTTGTCAGTGCTACTACAGAAGTTTTATTTTTGCGTAGATGATATCAAAAGCTTCTTGGATTGGTAGATCAGGTTACTAACCATTTTTAACTGGAGTAGTTTATTTTTGTTCAATCCGCTTGGTCGACCAGGTTATAAACAAGGCAAATCGAAATATAATTGAAGGTATGAAGGCGATTGACACTGTCAAATCGCCTGCACGTTTAAAAAATACTGAGCAAGCTGACACGTTAGTTGGTCTAGGTTTTGTCTTAGAATGTAAAGAATATCTCAACTGCTTAAACCAGGTCACAGGACCATATCATGAATACTTTCCAGCGCGTTAGTTTCATATTTTTCAAGCCCTACCGGCTACAATTGGAAGTCACAAAGCATTTAAGTATGATGTCTAAATCCCCTCCTGTTTTGAAGAAACTTTGGAAATACGGGTTACCTGAGATAAACTTGTTACAACTGTCAAACGGCGATATAGTCGACAGTATGCCTTAAGATTGTCGCTTCTAATATAACTGCCTTTCAACTGACCTGTCCAAGTTAGTATGCCAGGAGTGAGGGTAGCGTAAAATGAATCTGGAAGTTTAGATTGAAGTATGAAAGGAATTTATAAAATCTGATTGTTTCAGTTAATTAGGACACTGTAGGACTTTAATTTTGAGCTGTGCACCACCTCTAACTTGGACTAACAATCCGCAGTTCTTTGCAGCTTTCCTACTGCAACACCATGTCAAACACTGACTACTTTTTCCAACCAGTCCCACCGTTGGCAAATAATGTACGACGTAAAACTCACTGAAACGACATTAGTAGTACATGTTCAGGCTATCGAAGTGGATGTTTCAATAAAATTAACATAATAACTGTTTGTTTTTCATCTAATTTGATCTTCTTGTGAAATGCTAGTTTTTGACAGTGTTACGCATCATGATGTGCTTTTCTTGGCTTTTTCTTAATAAATTAAGCATTAAAAGCACTTTTATTTATTTTAAAGTGTACTCGTATATGATTTCTTTTAGTTCCAGCTGTTGGATATCCGTTCTTAATGATATACCCGACAGGACCTTTATCAGCACCAGCGACATCAGGAGTTAATGAGCCTGTTTATGATTATTCTACTATTTGCCAAATGCCACATTCACCATCAGTTGGTATTTCAGGTGTATCGCAACAACGGTTAACTGATTCAACAGAACCTAATTGTATAGGCCCTCAAATTTTCAATCCTCCTTTAGCTACTGAATTAAACAATGTCTTTTCTTCTTTATTTCCGGGCACAACTATTGCCCAACCGGCTAATCTGTGTTTCCTCGCCTCTTCAAGCAATGATCCGACAATCTTGATACGTCATCAAATATTGCATCAAGTTGAATTCTATTTCAGTCCAGATAATTTGACTAGAGATGTATATCTTCGTCGACAAATGGATTCTGATGGATGGGTTGATGTCAATGTGATTGCTAAATTTAATCGTGTGGCGTCATTATGTGCAGATTTGAACGATATTTTAGAGGTACGTACGTACTCAGTTTCTTTATTATCTTTAATTGAGTTGATTACTTGGTTCTTTCAATTTATGTTTTGCAGTGTAGGAGTAGATTGGAAGAAAGCTAGGGGCGGCCAAACCAAAACATGGCAGAAATCCGTGAAGTCACTGACAAGTGGACTGAGTCGTGTTGGTAGGTGTAGGCTACCTGGTTGGGGTCCGCGAGACGATAGTCACCGATAGTTAGAGACCTTGAACATCATGGCTCAGAGTCGTTTGCGATGGCGCAGGTGCATCCACTCTTTGAGCTCTATGAAATTCTAACCTTCTGCATTCCTCATAATCTCTACCTTTCTCCTTCTAAATTTATCTTACGGAATTATACTTCTCGAATCATATCATATCTTCGCTCCCTAATCTTCTCCATTACTGCTAACACTTCTATTGTTGCTATCACTGTTGTATTTGAACTGACAGTTGCGTCTCTGTGTTGATGGGGCATGGCAACCTGAACTGTCTGTCTGTCTTTCAATTTCATCATTGTTCTTTAATACTTTCCTATTTACAACTTAGATTACTTAACGTTGATATCAAGTTATTCCTTATGTCTCATCTGAATCAATACAGAAAATAGTTTTAAATAGTTATGATCACTTCAGCTGTAACATCTTTTTGATTAATTCCTCAAACTGAGTTATATTGGTTTGCGTATTTTATCTCTTCTCCAGTGTGCTTTAGAATGATGCAGAAATTCGCATCGCATCAAACAATGGTCATATAACACAACTGAAGTACTTCCAATCTATTGATCTGCACCATTTGCCACTGGTTTCGGATCCACGAGAAAGTAGAATGATATTCCATTGACACAGCAAACTTAGTAGTCAACAAAAAGTACTTATCGGCTTCTAGGTCGGCTTTGATACTTGCTTTACATAAACCGGTAACAAAACGGAGAAGCGTTCACAGTTCCGCCATACAAATCCCCCAACTTTATTCGAAACACAAGGAGGGTATAAATAAAATAGTGCTACAAATCAAAAATACTGTTGAGTCATTTGTATCTTATTGTTTTAGATTGAAAATCAATAGTTACCTCGATAGCTTAAAACCGTACAATTGAATGTTGTACACAATATAGAACCTGTTGTATATGTATACCGCTCAAGTTGCCACACGCCATTAGCTCGACGAAACGTTATGAGTGTCAGGCAAATCCCAAAGTAGTAAAGTTAGTGACAGCAATAACAATTATAGAAAGGATTCGGTGTCGAAATTAAAATACGACGAGAAACTATAAAGCGGCGTTAAACAGCCAAAGCAACAGCATTTTCTCAAATCTATATGATATTTGCATAATACTAATTTAAAGTAATTTTTAAAATTGCTTTCCGTTTTTTATCCCAAAATTAGGCAATCCGAGTTAGTCCATTATTAGATGTCGATGTGCCGAAAGCTCGTGTCCGGTGCAAAAACAATCCATCAATTTGGGCTCTTCCTCCTCCCTCGAAAGAGAAATTTCAAACCAGCTCCAAGAACACCACAGTTCTTAATCCAGATGCCCCCGAATTCATCCCATCCCAACCAGTGACCAACACAAACCCACCAGGTGAGAACAAACAAAAAATAATTGGTTCTTTACTCCTAGGAAAGTTTTATTTAAAGTTCTAGTCGTACTGTTGGGTCGAATCCGTAAATTCAAGGTGTGCTATGTGTGTAGATTCAGTTACCATTTACTAATTTTTAGGTTTTGTGGTTGCGCTTCTGGGTCGCTAAAACCACTACTACATTTTCTTTTTCAGACCCTCCTAAGGAAGAAGGATATTTGCATGGTGTTGGTAACCGAAAAGTGTTAGCTACCATACAGCATGCTGAATCACTTGGTTCATAATTAAATCTCATCTTCATATATTCAGCCGTCACTACAACACGCACCGCTCCAACTTCAACATTTGCCAGCAATACTAACAATTCAAGTTTGCAAAATGCAATATGGGGTTTTCTAAAACCATGCTTCGACCTACATGGTAGTTTTAACGTCTAGACCTTATATCAAATCGGACAACAAACTTAACTAGCTAGAACACTAGAATCTAGTCCCATCAATGTTCACTGTGTCCATAACATGTCCCTATGTAGTAGGCTATCTGAATGCCTCAGTCGGTAAACTAGAAAACTGCAAACATATGATAGTTACCATCTGTTAAGATGTCGCTCCGACAGTCAATTATTTCTGATAACTGACGAGCTTCAAACATGCGCTAATACTCTTTAACCTGATGACCTATGATAGACATAAGTAGATCATATCACCATCAGTCATCGTTGGAAAGACTCGACAGAAAACTGCTGCTCTTGTTAGACTCCAATCATGCCCAAATAGGAGCTCGTATTTCTATGAATTTTACTGGATGTCACATCAAGCAAATTCCGTAAATATCAATTTGAAAAGATTAAGTACTACTTATTCAGTTTATATTCAGCGAAAACAGTTACGCCCAAAATGCTTGAGACAATATCCAAGCAGCTGTGAGTACAAGAGAAGTTAAACCTGTCAACAACGTAAATTTAAAGGTTAGCAATCATATGACCAGTAGATTTTGGGTGACATCCAACAAATTGACTGAGACTCAAAGACTCTTTCCAACGGACTTGGTGAACAATGAGAAATCATAACAACTCAAACTCAAAAATTGTGAGCAGTGGTGAATAGCAAAAGCAAATGAGGTGGAATAATCAGGCACCGATATATAATACTACTAGACAACTCTACCAGTTGATCAAGGAAAAAAATACTGATAACACATTCCTTTGGGAGATTGTCCCGGAAAAAAAGGTGACTATTATTGACTCTATCTAAATTCGCTAAGCAAAGTATTTCAAGGTACACACTTCAATTAGTCTCACCCAACCGTAGCTGCTACCTTGACATGGTGGTCGGGCTTGCCTATCGTGATGACCCAGCCGAGCTATACTGGCTGGAACATCTGTTCCTGAATGTTCTACCACACCAAGCAGGTCGATTGGAGAACGATGAGACTAAAATCAGCTACTCAAGGTCTGAGTGCGAAGTCGTACTGCTGACTGGAGAGGGGTGTGACAGCAGTGAGGTGTTTCCCTCGGACAACCAGCATCTGCAGCGATCCTGGCTTCACTCACAAGGAAGAAAGGGTTAGAAAAGGTCGACCCTAAAAATGTCACACCTCACCATACTTCACGGATTTCCGTCTCCGTCGGTAAGGGTGCCCAGTAAGGGCTATTGAGAGCGGATCTAATACTCAAAAAAGCTTTCATAAAAAGGCCGTGCGTGACCGGTCTGAAGCAGTTGTCCCTTGGACTCTGCGGTCACGCAACCAGGTCTCCGAGACCAACACTAATCTATTTTCCTTTTCAGGTCCCTCAAGAAACAGCCTTCCACGGTGTGGGAAGCCGGGAAGTGATAACCGCCCTCATACCCATAACAACACGAGAGACCAATTTGGTCGAAATCAAATCCTTCCTACACTCCCTAATACCTCTCTTATCTCCATGACTAACTCTTCTCATATTCCTTTATCACGGTGCACAGCTAATGCAAACTATGTGAGTTCACGGAACGCCATTTCTGGTCTCCTGAAACCCCGTTCTAGACTACATGTTGGAGCATTTAATGTACGGACATTGTGTCAAATAGGGCAACAGGCATCATTAGATACGACTTTAGAATCTCGTGCCATCGATGTATGCTGCGTCTCGGAAACGCGCATACAGGATTCTAGTAAAGTCATTAATCTGATTTCGCCTTGTCAAAATAAAGAAGCAGCTCGATTTACTCTTCGTGTATCCGGTAGCCCTGATGCTGCTTCCGGGGGTCTTGCTGGCGTAGGCATAGCATTGAGTCGTAGGGCAGAACTGGCGCTCCTAGACTGGATCCCAGTAGATAGTCGATTGTGAGCCGTCCGACTTAACGGGACAGTAAGGATTCGGAAAGATAGGGACACCCGTCGTTGTCTCTTCATCGTATCTGCCTATGCCCCCACTGAATGCAGTTCAGACGATGTGAAAGACGAGTTCTACAGAAAGCTTTCGGACATCCTCAAAAAGCTAGACGCTCTGATGTAGTAATAATGGCTGGTGACTTTAATGCTCAAGCAGGTAGACTAAGTGAGCAGGAAAGACACCTAGGTGGATGTTATGGTGTCGCGGTTCAGAGAACAGACAATGCTGACCGTCTGTTGCAACTGTGCTCAGATAACCGCCTATTTCTAGCAAACACTAACTTTAGGCATAAGGCAAAGCATCTGTTGACCTGGCGACCTCCAAAGTTGTCTCAACGTTGGACTCAACTAGATCACATTGCCATCAGCCACCGATGGAGGGGTTCGATAGAAGACTGTCGCTCGTTGTGGGGCACATGTTTAGATTCAGATCATGCTCTAGTGCGAGCGCGTATTTGTTTGGGGCTTACTGGACGTGGGAAAGACACCGTAAGAAAGCCTCTTAGGGTTTTACTGAATGATAATAGGGCGGAGAATATTTTTCAGGAGCTTTAGAAAGACAGTTAGGCGACCATTTAAGCGATTCCCATCCGAAGTCAGGTTGGAATGATATCAAGAAGGCTGTGGGAACAGCAGTGATATCTGCTAGTAAGGTTAACCATAAGGCTAGAATAAAGCCGTGGATCTCTGCAGCATCCACCGAGCTGATGGATGCCCGAAAACTCATCCCACCTGGCTGTGAACATGATGAAGAACGAAGCCAGCTTAAGCGCAGGCTGATGAAAAGCCTGCGCAACGACCGTGATCAGTGGTGGGTGGCGAAAGCAAAAGCGATGGAAAAGGCAGCAGCGATAGGCAACACTAGACAACTTTTCCGCCTTATTAAAGAAACCGGTATTAGGAACCCGAATGTGAGTGAGACTATCTCGGAAAAGGATGGTCTTATTATCCATTCTCAATCCAGGAGACTGGATCGATGGGCAGAACACTTTAGGGATTAGTTCACCTGACCTTCAGCCAAACTTCGGTTACCCACGATCTCCAGTCATCCTGAATGGCAAATCGACGTAAGTCCTCCTAGTCTTAATGAAGTTGAAAAAGCGTTAGGAAATCTGAAGCGAGGTCGAGCTGCAGGTCCTGATAGACTGACCCCTGAGATATTCAAGGATGGTGGTGCAGTTTTATCAACTAGGCTGACTGAGATCTTAGGTAGAATTTGGGAACTGGACGTAATCCCATTCGACTGGTCTCAATTACTCATTGTCCCAATCTATAAGAAAGGACAGAAGTCTTCTTGTGACAATCACGGGAATTTCTAAATTGTTAGCTTCCATTTTACTTAGACGCCTTACTAGTGCTCGTAAAGAGCAGACTCGAGAAAACCATGCTGGTTTTCGACCTGGACGTGGCTGTATAGACCACATCTTCACACTACGACAGGTCATGGAACACAGACACACATTTCGACGTCCTACAATAGTCGTGTTCCTGGACCTAAAAGCGGCATTTGACTCAGTGGACCGTGAGGTTGTGTGGCAGTGTCTGTCATTGAAAGGTGTACCAAGGAACTACATTAACCTCATACAAGCTTTCTACCCGAACACCACTGGTCGAGTGAGAGCTTATGGCGAACTGTCATTGGAATTCTTTACTTCAAGTGGTGTCCGTCAGGGATGTCCACTCTCTCCATTCTTGTTTAATTTTATCATAGACATACTCCTAGATATAACCTTATTAGCGTCTGAATTTTCAGGAGTAGATCTTCTACCAGGAGGCTTGCTTATCGACTTGGAATATGTCCTACTTGGTGAAGACGCTGACAAAATGCATAGTCTTCTGACCATCATAAGCAACAATGCAAGCATATTAGGGATGCGGTTTTCCCCCTCTAAATGCAAACTGTTGCTTCAAGATTGGGTTTCATCGGCACTTGAACTAGTGGTAGGGATTGAAGTAGTCGAACGTGTAGACCGCTTCACTTATCTTGGGAGTCTCATCAGTGCTGATGGCCTGGCGACTGACGAAATCTCAACTCGGATACCGAAGGCTCGATTGGCTTTTGCCAACCTGCGTCACTTATGGCGCAGGCGAGATATCCGTTTGCTAACCATTGAACGAGTGTACTGTGCAGCGGTTCGCTCCGTCCTACTATACGGATGCGAGACTTGGCCGTTAGTAGTAGAGGGCCAGTCTTCGATCATCGATATCTCCGAAGAATTGCTCGTGTATCATGGGACAACCGTATAAGCAATGCTGTTGTTAGGAAACAAGTACTAGGTAGGGATTGCAAACCAATAGATGAAGTAGTGAAACTTAATCAGTTGAGGTGGTTGGGACATGTTACGTATGGCTAACCACTGACTGCCTCGACGAGCTATGTTTTGTGGTGTAGGAGTAGATTGGAAGAAAGCCAGGGTCGGCCAAACCAAAACATGGCAGAAATCCATGAAGTCACTGACAAATGGACTGGGTCATGTTGGTAGATGTAGACTACCTGCTTGGGGTACACAAGGCGAAAGTAACCTATGGTTAGAGACCTTCAATCACTCTCTTAGAATCGTTTGCAATGGCACAGGTGCATCTACTCTTTGTGTTCTATGAAATTTTAAGCTTCTGCATTCCTCATAATCTCTACCTTTCACCTTCTAAATTTTCTTCTGAATTATACTTCTCGAATCATATCATATCTTCGCTCCCTAATCTTCTCCATTATTGCTAATACTTCTATTATTGCTATCACTGTTGGATTTGAACTGACAGTTGCGTCTCTGTGCTGACGTAGTATGGCAACCTGAACTGATGTACTTATGTACGAAGTTCTGCGTTTCATCTTTCTGTCAATTAATCTCAAGTGATCTATAATCACCAATCATTCTAAATGCCAAATTTGTGCGCTAATGAACTCTCGCCGAGATTACGGTTACGGTTTACCTGAAAAGACGTAGAGCAACAGGTTATGACAGACGAACGCCAGAAATCTCGAAACACTGTGGTGCAGTTTCTGAGGTTAGCGTGACTATGCTGTTAACCAGGGTCTATATGAACTAGGCTTCATCCGACTAGTCTCAATCACTGGTCGTCCCAGTGCCAACATATAGTGCTATTTCTTAAGTGTAAACCACGTTTTGACTTTGTTGACTGATTAATTCTTTTCAATGTTTATCATCTTAAAACCTATCTAAGTATATAAACATTGTGGTGACAATCTGCTCAGAGGCTTGTTCATGTTACAGCTTCCGGTAAATTGTCTACCTCAGGTATCCGTTCGGGTTACTCGTTATCCCCCTTTCTATTTAATTTTTTTACATTTATTTGTTCTAAAGAAAACATCAGTTAACTTTTCAGGGACCGATCTCTTAGCACGTCCATTAATCTACTTAAAATGATCTAAATAACAGTTCTATTTGATAAAAATGAAGATCAAATGCGGTCGTCAAATCTCCGTGGGCAACAATACTAGCATTTTGAGATGTGTTTCCCACAGTTCTGCTTCATAATTGTCCTTCGTTGACCGCGCATCACTTAAAAGTGTCACCGGTTCCAATAGATTGATGTCTGGCAAATTCTCGACACGTAATCAGAAATATCAGCTTTTTACAACTACCGTCCTGTAGCGTAACCGAGTGGTATCTTTGTTGTGCAACAAACCTTTTTGTATTACTTCATGAGTGAAGCATGAAGATGAAAGTAAGCGACATGCATACAGTACGGGTTTTTGAGCATAAATTTCCTCAGAGCATTGTTCTTGGAACAATCGAGTGGTGACAAGTCCGACAATGCTGTAGTGAGTAACCACTGTATCTAATCTTATACCAACAGTCATTTTTCTGATGATGTCCAAAATCTCATTCAAATTCCCAAATTGTTATATGAGGTGAACGAGCGTAAAACTAAACTCAAATGATAATAAAATCAATAGTGTAACTCGTGTACAACTTACCAACCATTTATTCCATTAAAATTAATCAGTGTTTTCACTTCAACTAAATAGATTTTTCAAACTCATCTTTAACATTTAGCTATTTGTTCAAATTCTATTTATAGAATCCACGTCAGAATCTGTAACAAAATCAGATGCTATCCCCGTCAATTCAACAACACAAGAAGATTTAAACTTTACTTTTTCTAATGAACCACATTCTTCTGTCCATGGTAACCTGCCACCGCAATCTTTAGAGTTAAAACGCACTCGATCAAGTTATTCCGAATGTGATAAATACTCTTCTACTTACCATGTAGGTTTGAATTCAGAAGTGTCAATTAGTGTTTAGTGATTTTGGAAAATATATTTCAAGTTATTTATGACAAGTCTAAGTGTTCAAACCTAGTAGCTTAACGATAGTTTGGACATTGAATAAATTATGATCAATTTTTATTGAAAATTCTCCATGATTAAAACAACGAATGTATAAAATCCTTTTCATCACCCTTACAAAACATAATTTGATGTGAGCTTTTCCACCTGTGATACAGAACTATTCATAACCTTGTTTGAGTAATGAGATAGTGCTGAACTCTGTAATCTGTTATGCTTCTTGTATTTACAATAAGACAGATTATTAAAACTAAAAACCTGAATGGAATCTGAATACCAGCAGCTGTTTAGTTCATATTGAAGAAAAAACAATTTTGTAATCACTTTTATTCGGTAATTGCACTGAGTTCTGGTCCATGTCGCCCGAGTGTTAGCTGTTATTAATTACGATAGGTCGATTGGATGTGAACTAAGTAACCTGCACCAGCCTTCACGATCCAGTTCCACAACCAGTAACTTACTTCTATACCAGCTTAACAATGTCTATCGAGGTAGGCAGCGGGTTGCCAACCTCCCCAGTGTTTTGGGGATTCGCAACTTTATCAACTGATTTATTATCCTTACTTAGTATTTTCTCTCTAACCTCCGTATTGCTCACTCAGTGGTCCCAGTTTGCTCAAGCAATGTTTAAAAGGTGTTTATGTTCAAATATTAGTAACTTATGAGTATCTGTTATGCTCGTCAGTTGATATACTCGAACTATTACGAGTTCACTGCAGTCGGTAAACTAGAGCGAGGGCAAATGATCCAGTGACACGATAGGCTACTCTAATCTAAGCGTCCTAAGGCCCCACTAAGTAAAGGAAGAAGTCTTGATATGGTGTAGAAAGTGTATTCTACAAGCACCCAGAAAATATGAGGTTTTTTAAGCACTCAAATTGAGTTTGCTTATGGGAATTAAATTATACCGAGCAGCAGCTGAAATAATGATGTTGATAGATACCAAACTGCATTGTGACACGACTGGTTCAGAGTGGTGGATCAAGTCAATTTGACGTTCTTACAGTGCAACTGTCAACTAACCTGAGTAGATGTGTCCTTTGCTACATTCAGTTCACCTCACTTCAGCTCAATCCGACGGCCGATCTAAATTTGCTGGGTTTTGATTGGTTCGACTAGCTAACATTAGCAGATGTCCCGTCAACACCGTATGCCTCCTGGTATCGCAACCACCACTCTGAAGCATATAACAGGAAGCCAAACCGCTCCAGGGGTAGTACCCAAAGACTGATCCTACATTCTGTACCAGTTTGTTAAGCTTAGTTTCTTCATGTCAAAGGTCAACAACAAGCTGATCTCTGTCCCAGAAAATATCTCCGACAGCGGCGAACAACAGTTAAGATGCAAGTCGACCCCAGGAACGTGCGCTACTAGAAAGGGGAGGAGTGTTGTGGACGTTAGATCCCCAGAACTCACTTGATAAAGGTCCTAATTTGGGATTTCATGTTTCCGTGTATGGGCTGATCAGTTGACCTTGAGATTACATTTCCCACCCGGAAATCCCTAAGTGTCATTGTTTGATGTGTTCTTTTTAGTGCGTTATTTTTGTAGCTCTCTCAACGACGTTTCTATCATGTATAAATAAACTCAATTTGTGTGCTTGAAAAGCCTCATATTTTCTGGGTGCTTGTAGAATACACTTTGTACGCCATATCAGAACTTCTTCCTTTACTTAGTGGGGCCTTAGGACGCTTGGATTAGAGTAGCCTATCGTGTCACTGGATTATTTATCTTCGCTCTCGTTTACCGACTACGGTGAACTCGTAATAGTTCAAGCATATCAAGTGACGAGCGTGATAGTATCGTATTTTTAGAAGGTACGTTTCACAGCCATAAACAGGTAGTTTTTATCTACTACTAGCACAACTCATCCTAACGGTTAATTATTTAATCAACTATTATGCCTTTGTTTTGCCGTCCCCACTTTTTTCCTAAATTCCTCCTTAAACAGACCTCTTGGGTCGAGGTTAGAAGTGATTAAATGAACTTGACACATCTATTTCTGTTAATGAAACTTCACAGCTTCATCAACCAATTCACTGTTTCTGTCTTGCACCTTACGCCCAGCCCCAGCATCGGCCCCACTTGATTGTTTCTGCGATATTCGAGCACTGTTTCAAAAGCAGTTCTGATAAAAACTGCTTTCTCGTGTCTTATGTTCTTATAGTTCATGTTTCATCCATCATAGAATAGCTCATAGTGAACCGTTGTTCAATGTACTCACATTTTGGCTGGCAGACCAACATGTCTCTTATCCCACAAGTGTTTGGAGTTGATAAACGTCACACAAAGTTTCTGTATTCGTGTCCAGCACTCACCGAACCAAAACATTCATGTCTACATGTAATCTTATTATTTGTAGCTAATTGAAACTTTTTTTTGCAAATCTCATAGTGTCGAACGAGAACATCATCCGCTAACTCAGAGGATGATTTGGACGATTCTATGCTTTCTTGTTTATTGGTAATTGCTCCAAACACATCCTGTGATCCTGTACCGCCTAGTTGCAGTAGCTTGGATGAAAATGCACATAATGACAATTCCAAACCTTCAGAATTCCCTTCCACTATCAACGGGTATGTGTGTGTATGTTTTTCCTTCACTTCACTTGACTGCACTTCATTTGTTCGGTCTCATCTCTAAGATCTAAGATTTTCTGTATTCATTCTCAACTATTGTGAGAATTTTTGTTTAAATTATTTGACTGATTGCACTCTCAATTGTACACACACCCTACTTACTTTACTAAAACAGTCACCTCAAAAAAATTAGTAAGTCTACGGGCTGTAGGAAAACATTCCAATGAGCTCTAACTTAAATACTTAAAAACCTGTTAACAGAACAAGCTACGGGTTGAACGTGGAGAAATTCGAATACTTCAATTGTATCTGAAGTTTGTGCTGATGATGTTGTTGTTCAGAAGAACAACAATGAAAGCTCCACAACGAAAACATCCAGCTCAGAGAAAGAAACATCACCACAATCATCCACCTGAGCTACAAATTTTCTCCACCATCTCAATAGCAGTATTATTAGTCTTGAAAAAGTTTAGGGATTCAAGATGTAAATTGAAAAGTGTATTTCAGTGAAATAAATTCGTAAAAGTGAAAAAGGGTCATGAGCAATTCAGAAAATTAGAATTTGTGAGAAGACAAATAATGGATGCATCTGCTTCATTGCAAATAGTTTTGAGCCATGTTGTTCAAGGTCTCTAACCATCGATTACTATCATCTCATGGACCCCAACCAGGTAGTCGACACCTACCGACATGATTCAGTCCACTTGTCAGTGACTTCATGGATTTCTGCCATGTTTTGGTTTGGCCGCACCTAGCTTTCTTCCAACCTACTCCTACGCCGCAAAGCATAGCTCGATGAAGCAGTCTGTGGTTGGGCATTTGTAAAACATATTCCAACCACCTCAATTGATGAAGTTTCGATACTTCATCTATTGTTCTGTCATCCTTACCTAGTAGTCGTTTCCTAACAACAGAATTGCTCACTCGATAGTCCCAAGCTATACAAGCAATGCTTTAAAGATACCTATGATCGAAAACCAGTAATTTGCGAATACCTTGACCATGTTTCACTGCCATAAAGTAGCACAGAGCGAACTGCTGCTCAGTAAAAACTTATCCTTTTGTTATCAGGCGGATATCTCGCCTACGCCATAAGTGACGCAGCTTCGCAAAAGCCAATCGAGCTTTCTGCATCCATGTTGGAAGTTGTACACACTTACCCACACGATTCAATCCAGTTGTCAGTAACTTGACGGATTTTATGCCATGTTTTGGTTTGGCCGCCCCTAGCTTTCTTCTAGCCTACTTCTACACTAGATAACATCGCTGCTTCAACTATTCAGCTGCGCTTGTCTATACATGTACAATTTTTTCTTACGTTTTTTCCCCCTAGGGTAGTGTTAATCTATTGAAATTACTTACTGATGATGAATGATTACATTTTGCACTTTGTTGATTAAGAAAAATGTACATTTTGTATTATACTCTCAAACTTTTATCTCTCTCTCTCTGTTTTTACATATCACAGCTCTACTGATGAAACCATTGAAACTATTATTGATGATCTTTGCAAAGCTATCGATGGATCCAATGTACATTCTGATACAAATTTTACAGTATGTTAATTTATGCTGTTTTTATCATGTTGCTATATCATCATCCATTACCTTGTAGTACAATAAAATTGATTTTCTGTGTAACTTCAATGTTTATTCATAATCACCCACCAAGTTGAATAACCTTTTTTTATTTTTTTGAAAAAAAACAAAAAACAGGAATCCAATGTAACCAGCGCAGTTGAAAACAAAACTTCTACGTGTACAAAAACAGTTTCCTCTTCTTCAACTTCTACTCCTACTTCTACTACTTCTACTACTTCTTGTACATCTACTTCCGATATTTCAGCGACTACTACTATCCCAGTTCATTCTAACAACTCACTTGTACAGTATGATCATCAACAATCTGTGTCGGAAGCTGCTTCACTGCACTCTGTATCATTGTCATCGGCTTCACTTTATTCAGGTAATGAATTTCATGTTATTATGTAATCACATTGTGCTTCTATGTATGTTGCTTGTCGATTCGATTCGATTAGATTAGGAAGCGTTATTTTCTCATTTTGCAACTAACTCATTGACTACATTTTGTAATATAGATTGCCTTGAATATTTGACGTTCTTTGGAAATGGAGTATGGTCGTTTACAGAAGCTAAACCTTGGGAGTCTCATCAGTGCCGATGGCCTGGTGACTGACGGATACAGAAAGCTCGATTGGCTTTTGCGAAGCTGCGTCACTTATGGCGTAGGCGAGATATCCGTTTGCTAACTAAAGGACAAGTGTACTGTACAGTAGTTCGCTCTGTCTTACTTTATGGTTGTGAAACATGGCTAGTCAAAGTAGAAGATATTCTTAGGTTACTGGTTTGCGATCATAGGTGTCTTCGAAGCATTGCTCGTATATTGTGGGACACCCGGGTGAGCAACGCTGTTATCAGGAATCGGGTGCTAAGTAATAATGACAGATCAATAGATGAAGTGGTGAAACTTCATCAGTTGAGGTAGTTGGGACATGTGTTGCGTATGCCCAACCACCGACTGCCTCGTCGAGCTTTGTTTTGTAGTGTAGGAATAGGTTGGAAGAAAGTTAAGGGCGGCCAAACCAAAACATGGCTGAAATCCATGAAGTCACTGACAAGTGGACTTAGCCATGTTGGTAGATGTAGACTACCTGGTTGGGGTCCGCGAGACGAAAGTCATCAATGGTTAGAGACCTTGAATGACATGGCTCAAAATCGTTCGCAATGGCGCCGGTGCATTTATTCTTTGTGTTCTATCAAATGCTAATCTTCTGGATTCTACAACACCTCTAGTTTTGACTTTCTAAACTTTTCTCACTGAATCATACTTCTTGAATAATATCTTCTAATCCTAACCTCTCCGATTACTTCTAATACCCTTACTAACTCTTCTACTATTAGATTTGAATTGACAATTACATCTCTGTGCTGACGTGATATGGCGACATGAACTGATGTACCCTCGTACGAAGTTCTACGTTGCAACTGACTGAGAGAAGCTAAACACCATATTCAGAAGGAAGACGCCCTATGCATTCGTATGATCTCTATACAAACGTGAACAGAATAATAGTTGGTTTGTAATAGAGTAGTAGACGATCAGTTTATTGTCAGATCCCAAAAATTGGATTGTAAACTGTTGTCGCTACACGTCCCCTTCGATAAACGCCTATGTATTTGTATATAATTGTAAGCATATTTTGTCTCGCTGAATTTGATGCCTAATAAAAATAACATTTCTTATCTGTTTTTATATACATTGACTACAGAATCCAGCTTACCATATGTACATCCTTCAATTCCTGGTCCACTTGCTTATACAGTAATACCGACAGCTACGGCTATGCATCCACAAACTGGATTTCTATTGCCAACATTTGGTCGAACACCATTTTTAACACCGACACCTCCAATGTATTACATTCCTCAATTTGGCGCTATACCTTTGGTTTCGCCAATCGACAATGTATTTCCTCAAATTCCTGTATGCCAACCATCACCATTGTCTTTCTTAAATTATACACAGAATCATTTACCATTACCTAGCATGAAATATGATTTGAAAGGTCGTACTGCTGGATTTTTCCCTGTTTCCAGTGATTATGATGTGAAACCGAATGAGTCAACTAGTACTGGTGATACAGTGAGTCCCCATATCTGAATATGTCGTTTTAGTGTATTATTGTATAAAGTCTTTTTCCAAGTTATCATGCTTTTTACTTGCAAAATCAATCGTGCCTCATAGTTTTTATTTGATGAAAGTTGTGAAGATTATTTCCATTTGCCAACTTGCGTCACTTACGGTGTAGAAGAGATATCCATCTACTAAGCAAAGGACGAGTGTACTGCGCAGCAGTTCTCTCTCTCTCTCTTACTTTATGGATGTGAAACTCGGCTAGTGAGAGTAGGGGATATCCCTAGACTATTAGTATTCTATCATAAGTGTCTTTGAAGCATTGCTCGTATTTCGTGGGACCACCGAGTAAGCACTGCTGTTGTTAGGATGATAAATCGATTGGCGAAGTACTGGATCTTCATTAGTTGAGGTAGTTAGGACATGCGTATATCTAGACATCGACTCCCACGACAAGCTGTCTTTTGTAATGTAAGGTTAGGCTGGGAAAAAGGTAGGGGTGGCAAACCAAAACATGGCACGAATCTATGAAGTCACTGACAAATGAACTGAGCCATGTTTGGAAGATGTTGACTGCTTTGTTGGGGTCCGCGAGACGATAGTAACCGTTGGTTAGAGACTTTGAATGACATGAGGCATCCATTTTATGACCTCTCATAAATTCTAATCTTTTGAATTTCTCATCACCTTTATATTTCTCTTTTTAAGTTTATTTCACTAGATTCTACTTCTTGAATAATATCCTCGAACCCTAATCTTTGCGATTTCTGCTAATACTTCTACTGTAAGACGTGAATTAACTACTCCATCTCTCTGTGCCAATGTGATTTGGCAACTTGTACTGATGTACGTACGTACGAAATTCTACATTGTTACTTGCTGAGTTGTGATGCTGAATATGTTTCTGTATAGTGGAGAATGCTCCACAACCAAAACAACCTGTTCTAAGAACAAAACATCATCACAATGTTTTCTGTATCAATCCGTTCATTGTGTTATTTTTATTGCATGTTAATTTTAGCAAAACGATCATCCTGTCACTGCGACAGAAACTGACGACTCACCATGTAATAAGAAAAAACATGTTGGATTTCTATTTCGTCCGGATTCTGCTGCTCGTGGCCAATTCGATGTTTCGTTGAGGTAAAACTATGCCTAACATTTGCTTATGTCAAGTCCAAATTCATTGTGTTTATAGTTTCTTTTTCCGCCCAATGAAATTATTCATTATTTTTATCAAAATGGATTTCAAGTTCTTTATGATAAATACAAGAATAAAAGATACACTGATATACTACACTTTGACGTTTGTAAAATCAAGTTTTATAGCTTAAACTAATTAATTGCAACTAAAATCGTCACCTTACAAAGGAACAAATGCAAGATTTTTATTTTGACTAATTTCGTCTTGTGTTCTGTTACGGGTATGAGGGCGGTTGTCACTTCCCGGCTGCCCACACCGTGGAAGGTTGTTTCTTGAGGAACCTGAAAAAGAAGATAAATTAGTGTTGGTCTTGGAGACCTGGGTGCGTGACCGCAGAGCCCAAGGGACAACTGCTTGAGGCCGGTCACACCCGTCTTTTTTATGAAAGGTTTTTTGAGTATTAGCTCCGCTCTTGAAAGCCCTTAGTGGGCACCCCTACCTCCGGAGACGTAAATCCGTGAGGTAGGTGAGGTGTGACATATTTAGGGTCGATCTTTTCTAACCCTTCCTTCCTTGTGAGAAGACAGCATCGCTGCAGATGTTGATTGTCTGAGGGAAACACCTTACTGCTGTCACACCTCTTTACAGTCAGTCAGCAGTACGACATCGCCCTCAGACCTTGAGTAGCTGATTCTAGTCTCATGGTTCTCCAATCGACCTGCCTGGCATGGTAGAACCTTCAGGAACATATGTTCCAGCCAATATAGCTCGGTTGGATCATCACGATAGGCAAGCCTGACCACCACGTCAAGGTAGCAGCTTCGGTCGGGAAAATGCAAGATGATGATAACAGTAACTCCACAATTGATTTGGTCGGACCAGAGTAAATATCATGGGATCTCATACTGAGAACACCTTAGTAGAAAACATGAAAGTGTTTCCTTTATTTTTAACTCCAATTAAAAAATCACTGCAACATTTTATGCCATTTTTGTATATTCGCACATTATAAATATATTGATCTCCTTCCTTTTCTCATCATAAGTTTTTTCTTTCTCCATACAAAGTAGTAGCGGTTTGTCAGCTGCTCATCATCATCATCAATATCATCCTCATCCTCATCATCCACATCATCATTTACTTCAACAAAAAGGTTTCACATTTCATGCCTACAATCAATTTCGTGCGAAATGCCTGAAAGATCGTGAAGTTAAAGGCAAAGGTCAATCACAGGTAGATTAATTCATTATTGTGTTGTTATTATTATTATTATTATCGTTTTCCCTTTTGTTCTTATCAGTTACTTGTGTGTGTGTGTGTGTGTGTGGTTGCTTTCATGTCACTGAACATCTTTAACCGCTCTCTCGGTTTATTCGCATGTATTCTTAACGAAGTCGATTGTATGAAGATCTAAGTGTTTGTTAACAGTTGTCTGCACAAAATACTTTGGATTCTCTAACCAGACATTATCAGCAACAACCTACCGCGTGGAAGAGAACAAACCATATCCCAGCAGAGGAGGGAATCAGGAAGAGGCGCTGGAAGTGGATAGGACATGCATTAAGGACAGCATCTAACTGCGGCTTAGAATCCTTAAGGTGAAAGGAAAAGAGGAAGGCCAAAGAACATATTACGTCGAGTATTGGAGACAGACATGAGACTCATGAACGGAAGTTGGACAGAACTAGAAAAGGAAGCCCAAGATAGTGTAGGTTGAAGAAAACTGGTTGGCAGCCTATACTCCATTGAGGGTAACAGGCGTTAGGAAGTAAATTTGTAGCACATGTCCAAACCACCGTGGTTGACAAAGATTCACAACGGATATGCCATCTTTACGTCGTTGTATTCTATATCTGACCTCACTTTATTGTTCATCGATACGTGATCAATGCCTCGAAGATACCACCTCTATTTTCTCAAGAACCACAACCTTTGGTTGTCTTCCGTATTTTTATAATAAGACATGATTCACCACCAAAACAAACTGTTGCACATTATATTAACCCTTCAAGTTATCCGAATAATTTCTCATCTATAACAGTACGACGTCGTAGCCAATTGAAAACTGTTATTATCAAGGTAAAGTTCTTATAAAACTGGGTTTACTCTATTCAGTTGAAATGATTCTATTAGTGGGGGATAGATGGATTAAAGCATGACTGCGTTAGCTGCGCGATGATTGGCTAAGTCTAATCCGATCAACGTTAGTACATTCCAGAAGCTTCTCATGTAAAAACTAAAGACACTAACGTTGTTCCTATTTCGCCTTCGATTTGCCTTCTTACCTCCATTTAACCTTGTTATTTGGACTATTATCCTTTTCCTGCTCAACTGTGTTCTGATTTGGGGTCTTGTCGAGTGAGACTATCTCGGAACAGGATGGTCTTATTATCCATTCTCAGTCCAGGAGATTTGACCGATGTACAGAACACTTTAGTGACCAGTTCAACTGGCCTCAAGCCACACTTCAGTTGCCCACGATCCCCAGTCATCCTGAATGGCCAATCGATTTAAGTCCTCCCAGTCTACATGAAGTTTAGAAAGCTATAGGAAATCTAAAGGGAGGTAGAGCTGCAGGTCCTGATGGGCTTACCCCTGAGATGTTTAAGGATGGTGGTCCAGTTTTTAAAGTTAGACTGACCGAGATCCTAGGTAGAATCTGGGAACTGGACGTAATCCCATCAGACTGGTCTCAGTCGCTAATTGTCCCAATCTATAAGAAAGGACAAAAGTCTTCTTGTGACAATCACAGGGGAATTAGTTTAACTAATATAGTTTCTAAATTGTTAGCCTCGATTATACTTAGACGTCTAACTAGAGCTCGTGATGAGCAGACTCGAGAAAACCACTCTGGTTTTCGACCTGGACGTGGTTGTATAGACCACATATTGACACTACGACAGGTCGTGGAACACAGACACACATTTCGACTTCCAACAATAGTCGTGTTCCTGGAGCTTATTCAGCTTCAATATTAACACAGAATACAATCAAAATGAATTTTTTTCTTTCGTAACACGATCCCATTTTGCTACTTATGAAGAGAGAGTCCTATATAATAATCGCTGCAGCAGCAGAATACTAAATTCAACCATTCTGATTAATTTATGTGATGGTTCTCTTTTGTCACTTAGGAAATGAATACTCTGTATAGTTTTTGGTCATTTTTCCTACGTGAACATTTTAATCAAACAATGTACAAAGATTTTCGTCGTCATGCATTGGATGATGCAAAAGAGAAGGCGAGATATGGATTGGAGTGTTTGTTTCGATTTTACAGTTACGGATTAGAGCGTTGTTTTCGTAGGGCTATTTTTAAAGATTTCCAGGTGAGTGAGTGATTTTTTTTAGTCTTGTTGTCAGTTTTATTGTTTGAATTACCTTTTCTTTGGGTGTATAGTGGTTGGTTGGTTGATCAATTAAATTATATGTAATATACTGGAGCCCCTCTAGGGCTATTGGCGATCCCATACCCGGATAAAGTAGGGGGCGGGCTGGGTATGGGGTTAGCGACTCTCTCGTGTAGAAAAGTAACTCGCTAAAAATACGCTAACTAGAAACTAGTTGGTGGCCTATGCTTCACTGGAGGTAACGGTTTATGTTTGTGCTTACCGTGAACATTTTACTGTATCTAACTCTCTTAAGCTACCAGTATTATGCGAATTGCAAGTTTTACATGTGCAGTCAGGAATGTAAAGTATTCATGCAGTTATACACTACCTTGAGCTTCTGGCGATTTCAGAGATCGTACAAAATACAGCAGCAGTATTGGTAAGCGTCCAGTCAAAACTGTACTATCTGCCAAGCTTTTTCCGGCGTTTCTTTGCCCCTGAAGACTTTAAACAAGAGGTATTTATGGGCTCCTACAGACTCCAAGTTTACTTTCATATATCATACAACACACCATTTTTTGGCCTACAGAAGTTGTTGTCGAGTTAAGATTGTGATGCATACATCCTCGGCCGAAATGCACATCAACTTGCTGCTCATGAATCCGCCTTTCATGCATGAGTTTTTTTGTTACCGATGATTAATACCCTTCCCCCACGGTACCTCATTTACTGTAGCCTCTGTGTATATGGTGTGAATTTTTTCTCTTAAATTCTGTTGATCAAAGTCTTTTGCTTAGTTCATACAGTTTAAAAATAAATTCTTGTTTTACGTGATAAACTTCAATTTCTCATCTTTTTTTTTTCTTTCGGATTTTTTATATTAAAAAGGAGGAAACTCTGAAAGACTATGATGAAGGTCATTTGTATGGATTAGAAAAGTTTTGGGCTTTCTTGCATTATAGTCAACGTAAAGTGAAATTGGATGCACGTTTACAAAAATTGTTAGATTCCAAATATCGTACATTGAACGACTTCAGAATCAATGTAAGTTTTTGAACAACAGCATTACTATTACTTACTTACTTACTTAAGCCTGTTACCCCCAATGGAGCATAGGCCGCTCACCAGTTTTCTCCAACCAACTCTGTCCTGGGCTTCCCTCTCCAATTCTGTCCAATGTTTGTTCATTCCTCTCATATCTTTCTCTATTTCTCGGCGTAGTGTGTTCCTTGGCCTTCCTCTTTTCCTTTTGCCTTGAGGGTTCCATGTGAGGGCTTGTCTCGTGATGCAGTTAGGTGCTTTTCGTAGTGTGTGTCCTATCCACTTCCACCGATTCTTCCTGATTTCCTCCTCCACTGGAATCTGACTTGTTCTCTCCCACAGTTCGTTGTTGCTGATGGTGTCTGGCCAACGAATACGAAGTATTTTGCGTAGACAACTGTTAATAAATACTTGTATCTTCTGGATGATGGCTTTGGTAGTTCTCGAAGTTTCCACTCCATACAGTAGAACTGTCTTGACATTTGTATTGAAAATCCTGATTTTGGTTTTGTTTGAAAGTTGTTTGGAGTTCCAGATATTTTTCAACTGTAGAAATGCAGCCCTTGCTTTGCCAATCCGCGCCCTCACATCTGCATCGGTCCACCTTTCTCGTCGATGATGCTGCCAAGATATGTGAAGGTGTTAACTTCCTCCAAGGTATCTCCATCAAGCGTGATTCGGTTGGTGCATGTTTTGTTTCATCGGAGAATTTCGCTTTTTCCTTTATGTATGTTGAGACCTACTGCTGCAGAGGCTGCTGCTACACTGGTCGTCTTCTCTTGCATTTGTTGTTGAGTGTGCGATAGAAGAGTCAGGTCATCTGCGAAGTCCAGATCGTCCAGCTGCGTCCTAACTGTCCAGTTGATACCGTGCTTCCCTCCAGATGTTGACGTCTTCATAATCCAGTCGATGACCAGGAGAAAGAGAAAGGGTGAGAGTAAGCAACCTTGCCTCACACCGGTCTTCACCTCAAACGAGTTTGTCAGCTGACCTCCGTGCACGATTTTGCAGTTGAATCCATCATAGGAATTCCGTATGATGTTGACTATTTTCTCAGGCACACCGTAGTGTCGAAGAAGCCTCCACAGTGTTTTCCTATCCACGCTATCGAATGCTTTCTCGTAGTCGATGAAGTTGATGTAGAGTGGTGAGTTCCATTCAACTGATTGTTCCACAATGATCCGTAATGTAGCAATTTGGTCAGTACATGATCGATCCTTACGAAATCCGGCCTGTTGATCTCGAAGTTGGGCGTCTACGAAGTCCTTCATTCTGTTTAACAATACTCTGTTGAAGACTTTGCCTGGTATTGAGAGGAGAGTGATGCCTCTGTAGTTCTCACACTTACTGAGATCGCCTTTCTTTGGTATTTTGATGAGGTATCCTTCTTTCCAATCTGATGGTACTTTTTCCTCATCCCAAATCTTCTTGAAGAGGATGTGAAATATTTTTGCAGTTGCTTCCACGCCTGCTTTCATTGCCTCTGCTGGAATGTTGTCTGGTCTTGCTGCTTTGCCGCTCTTGATTTGTCTGATGGCTATACTGATCTCCTCAATCGTAGGTGCGCCAATATTAATTGGGAGGTCCGTGGATGCTGCTTCGATGTTGGGTGGGTTCAGTGGAGCTGGTCGATTCAATAGTTCCTTAAAGTGCTCTACCCACCTATTTCGCTGTTCGTCAGTGTTGCTGATTATTTTCCCTTCCTTGCTTTTCACTGGTCGTTCTGGTTTACGATAGTTCCCGGTGAGCTTCTTTGTTGTTTCGTACAATTGTCTCATGTTTCCTTCTCTTGCAGCCTTTTCCGCCGTCATTGCTAGATCTTCCACATATTTTCGTTTGTCATCTCTGATGCTCTTCTTCACTTCCCTGTTTGCTTCTGTGTATGCAGCTTGTGCGGTAACTTTCTCTGTTCCTGTTCGGCTGACATTCACTGCTGCCTTCTTGGTCCTCCTTTCTTCAATTTTCGCAAGAGTATCAACAGAGATCCATTCCTTGTGATGGTGCTTCTTGCGACCAAGGACCTACTGACATGTTGAAGTGATTGCCTCCTTAATCCTTTCCAATTGTTCTCCAATGTTGCGTCCTCTCGATTGTGTAGATCCTGAAAGGCCTGGAACCTATTGGTGAGGGCTATCCTGAATTCGTTGAGCTTTACAGTATCCCGAAGAAAGGCCGTATTAAACTTGTGTGATGTCGTCTGTCCCGTTGTCCAGTGCTTCTTTAGTTTCAGTTTCATTTTGGTGATCAGCAAGTGGTGATCTGAAGCTATATCAGCTCCTCTCATGGTTCTCACATCCTCCATGGTCCTTCTGAACTTTTTGTTGATACAGATATGGTCAATTTGGTTTTGAGTAGTGTGATCCGGTGAAATCCATGTAGCTTTGTGAATGCGTTTGTGCGGGAATATTGTGCCACCGATGACCAGTTTGTTGAAGGCACATAGGTTTGCAAATCTCTCACCGTTTTCGTTTCTTTCTCCCAGTCCATGTCGTCCCATGATGTCTTCATATCCAGTGTTGTCCATGCCAACCTTGGCATTCAGGTCTCCCATAAGAATCGTTAAATCCTTTGGTGAACATTTCTCGACGATTGACTGCAGCCTTTCGTAGAATTGATCTTTATCGTCGTCATTGTAGTCGTTGGTAGGTGCATAACATTGGATGACGTTCATTGTAATGTCCTGTTTCTTTGTTTTGAAGGATGCTTTGATGATCCTAGGTCCATGAGATTCCCATCCTATCAGTGCCTTTTGTGCATGTTTGGACAGCATCAGTGCAACTCCTTGTGTATGTGAAGCGTTTTCCTCTTCATGACCAGAGTATAACAGCAGTTCCCCTGAAGCAAGTCTCAGTTGTCCTACCTGTGTCCAATGCGTTTCACTGATGCCGAGCACCTCGAGGTTGTATCTTTTCATTTGTGCCGCAACTTGAAATAGTCTTCCAGTTTCCCACAATGTACGAACGTTCCATGTACCTAAAAAAATGGTTGTTCTGGTTGTCAGAAGAGGCATCGGCCCCGTGACTTCCGAGGGAACTCGGCTTTCATCACGAGACGTCATAATTCTTCTTCCAACTGCCAGGGCAGAGTTAAAATGGTTTGAATCAGTTTTTCTGGTTAGCGTTTTTTTGGCAAGTGAGATTTCAACGGAATGGGGTCGCCAACCCCATGTCCAACCCTCCTCCTTTTCCCGGGCTTGGGACCGGCAGTAGCCCCTAAGGTTCTACTGGCGGAGTTACTATTACTACTGTACTAAAATAGGCGAATATATATATATATAATCCGTAGATCAATCAGAGTTAGACATTAACACCGTTGGATGCCGGCCTAGTAGTCCGATGGTTAAGCGTTCGCGCACAATACCGAAGGTCCCGGTTTCGAATCCTGTGAGGTGCAGGAGTCGTGGATGCTCACTGCTGATGAGTCCCATACCAGTACGAAACGGCCGTCCAGTGCTTCCAGGTTTCTAATGGTGGTCTAACAATGATTGATTGATGATTTCAAATGTGTAAAAAATAATGAACTGTTTGCATTATATGGTTGTGGAGATTAAAATCAGTCAGTCAGCCAGATGCAACGTAGAACTTCGTACGTAAGTACATCAGTTCATGTTGCCATACCACACATCAGCACAGAGATGTAATTGTCAATTCAAATCACATAATAGTAGTAGAGATAGTAAAGGTATTAGTAGTAGTCGGAGAGGTTAGGATTAGAAGATATTATTCGAAAAGTATGAATTAATGAGAAAAGTTTAGAAAGTCAAAACTGGAGGTGTTGAAGAATCCAGAAGATTAGGATTTGAGAGAACACAAAGAATAAATGCACCGGCGCCATTGCAAACGGTTTGGAGCCATGTCATTCAGGGTATCTAACTATCGATTATAATCATCTCGCAGACCCCAACCAGATAGTCGACAATACCGACATGGATCAGTCCACTCGTCAATGACTCCATAGATTTCTGCCATGTTTTGGTTTGGCCGCCCCTAACTTTCTTCCAACCTATTCCTACACTACGAAGTAAAGCTCTTCGAGGCAGTCGTGGTTAGGCATACGCAGCGCATGTCCCAACCACCTCAACTGATGAAGTTTCATTACTTCATCTATTGATCTGCCATTCTTACCTTGCACCCGATTCCTAATAACAGCGTTGCTCACTCGGGTATCCCACGATATACCGGAGATTAAAATCAATCATTGATCAATGTTAAAGCGCTATTAGAAATCTTGGGGCGCTGGAGGGCCGTTTCATCTGGTTTCGGAACTAACTCGTCAGCAGTGTTGTTCATGGACGACTCCCGCTACTCGTTCGATTCGAACCTAGGATCTTCAGTGGATGCGCACTGCTGACGAATTCCATACTAGGATGAAACAGCTGTCCAGTGCTTCCTTGTTTCTAATGGTCGTCTAACATTAATCGGTTCATCATGTCCAAATAAAAATATTTACCCACTGAATTCTGTTATTATCATGAATGAATCATTGTTAGACCGCTATTGGAAACTTGGGAGTGCTAGAGGGTCGTTTCGTCTGATTATGGGACTCATCATCAGTGTTGTTTGTCGACGACTCCCGCTACTCGCAAGATTCGAACCCAGGAGCTTCTAGGTTTCTAATAGTGGTTGAACATTGATCGGCGTATCATTTTGTTATTATTTCTGTGTTATTTATTTTGTATTTCATTACAGTTTGAACCACCTACTGGCTTTTTTGTCAATAAATCACGTCGTCGAACCAAATCCGAGTGTACATCCACATGTCAAAGTAAATTGGTACTGAGTAGTACAAGAACACCACCTGCAGAATTTCATCATTCGATTAGCATGTCTTGATGAAATGCTCATAGTTACTTCATCTATAATTTAATATTACGCAACAACAAACAAGCAAAAAACAATCTTACTTTTATGCTCATCAGTCGTTGAACATCAATCTAATTCTTCTAGCCTGTAGACAATGCAAAAGCTGCTCTATTCACTCAATCTCTAATTGATGCTTCATTATTAAGATCAACAATCTTCACATAGTTGATTTGTTTCGGTCCGGTGCTGTTGTTGTTCCTATTATACATAAATATATTATTCTTTCTCTTGGTTTTTTTCCATATCATAATTGCCATCGTAATTTCACTACTAATACACTATGAATTACAATTACACATGATTATATTGTCTTGTATATACATACATATATTTATAAATAGTAATAAAATGTACTATTCTTCTTATCTTACCATTTATTATTACTATTATTATTATGATTATTCGCTAATTTTCTTCAATTTCTTTCTGTTTTTGGTTTTTTGGTTTTTTCTGAGGATACATTTTGTAATTGAAATATTTCACTAACTAACTAACTAGTTTTGACACTGTGTGTGCGTTTGTGTGTGCCACTTCCTGTCCGTCGTCGTTTATTTCATCTAGACATGATAATTGACGTTTTTTTTTGACGTGTTATAATGCCACAAACAAACAAAACACCGCGATTAATTCAATGTTACCGAGAAGTGCAGGAGAAGAGAAGTACACATCTATGAGACACCAACTAATAATAATAATAAACCTTTTGATTTGTTGTCTTCTCTGAGCGCGAGTGAGTGAGTGAGTGAAGTGATTCATTGAACAATTCTGTATCGCTTAAAAATATAGTCGTCTGTGTAATAATCTTCATCATCATCTTCCTCTTTCTGTTTGTCTAGTTTGTAAACAGTTTAACGCTCTACAAAAACTCTATTTATTACATACAATACACATTTATTATATGTGTGTATGTCGACTTGGATGGGGAATAGTTTTCTGGTGTGTGTTGTGTAGAGTTTCTCCTTTCTTGTGTTCTCTCTGATTCATGCATTAATTTTTGTGTCAATTCAATGATTGATTATTTCTGATCTGTAATTTCTCTTTCTCTCTCCATTTCTCTTTAACTTTTCACTAGTTGTTGATTGTTTCAAACAAACAAGTCAGCCAACATGAATTATTACAGTCTAACGAACTCGCTTGCTCTCTCTCTGTGTGTCTCGTGTTTTTTGTCACTTACCTTTATATATGATAATAATAATAATTATTATTGTTATTATAATAATCTGTTAATGACTCTTCAAAATATGTATTAATTAGCACACTGTCTGTCTTAGTTCTTTTATTCTTCTTTACATGTGTAACTTGTGTCTCAGTTTTATTTTTTTTCTCTCTTGATTTGCTTTATGTACTCTGCATACAAATACATTTATAATTGTAGTTTGAAACTGTGTGTGTGTGCGCGTGTTCGCTCTGATTGTTCTTTTCCGCCACTTCCCTCCTTCCGCATCCCTTATTATTAGAGTGTATTTTATTATCCCCCTTTATAGAATTTAAGAGACAAACAAACAGGCCTCCCCTCTTTTCCCCAGTTTTCAAATCACTTTTACAATGAATTACAAACTTGATATTTGCCATTGTATAATTTTTCTATTGTTTTTCTGTTGTTTCAATGTGTTTATTATAGAGATAGAGAGAGAGAGAGAGGTACCAGTGGTAGTAGTAGCGGTTGTAGTAGTAGTAGTAGTAGTACACCGTCGTCGAAATGACTGTCACAACAACACATAAACTCCTATTGATCTGATGCTGCAAAAATGTCTTCTTTTTTTCGCCTACTTTCTAATCCATTTATATCAATACGAAACCTTGACGTGGAGATGTGCGTGTTGGCCTCTGAGCTTACATATCTGATGATTACCTAATAAAAATTTGAGGAGACTGGGATTTAAGATCTAAAACGGACTTATCTTTTTCATTTCTTAGAAGTTACTACTTTTTCTGTCTATGATTTATTCACGTAGTACCAAATGAAACTTCTGTTGTAAAACTGTTTGATTCTGTGAAATTGGCACAGTTAATTCAGCTAATCTGTTTCATTGACAGCTTCTGAAATGTTTTGCTTCATACAAACTTGTAGAACCCCGCTGTATGGTATGTTGTGTCAACTGTGTGACCGTTTGGAATGTTGTTACAACGGTCAATAGTATTGTATTGGTTATTTTGTAGATAATGACAATGACACACTGCTATCTCTTGTTTGTGTGTTTTCATTATTTATCTTGATTAATAATGCCGTTTGAGATTTTATGACATATCCTACGACGCAAATTCCAGATGGTTAAGAAAAGTGACCATGGATATGTTAGTTTCGAGCGTGTGGTTTCTTGTGGGTTTTTTTATATCGCTTAAACATAATTTTCATTATAGGATTGTGGGGATTGATGAGTTTCATAGAACTCATGAATCGACTCCGGAGGTACTGGGTTCGATTCCTGCTAGTTGGGGGTCGTGCTTAAGCACTTCTGATGAGTCCTATACTGGGACGAAACTGTTGTCTAGTGCTTCCAGGGATCTAATGGTGGTCTAACTTAGATCGATTCATGATACCAATAGAATCAGTAGCTGAAAATTGTTTTTTCAGACAGGAAAATTGAAGTTTTCTTCAGTAACTCAATCGCTGTCGAAATCTACTTCTTGTCGTTTTATTGATTTTTACTACATCAGTTTATGGCGAAAGAAAACTTTTTCATTTTATTTTGTGTCGGCGTTCAGAAATCAACAGTAACTGAATTAAATATCTTTAGCCAATTTAACAGGTCATACTTCCCAGCATGCGAACACTTGTTTATTTATTTTGTACGTAAAGAGTTATCTAGTCAAGTTTTTGTATTCATTGATATAAGTTGTTCTTTGGAGTTTGTGACCAAGTTGGTGTCGTGTGTTGTTATAGGTATGAAAGCGGATGTCGATTCCCGAACTTTTGTCTGTTTAAATTTATTTCACTGGCTTCTAATTTCCCGAATCATTTCTTCAACCCCTATTCTTTTCTATTATTACTGATACCACTATAGGATTTTAATTGACAATCTTATTTGTCTGCGCTCAAGTGATATGGCAACTTGAACTGATGTACGTGGGTATGTAGATGGACGTTGTCGTTGATGTACTCACTGACTGATTTTGTTCATCCAATTAATTTAGTGAGTTTGTTTTAGTTTGCAGTTTTCCAGTTCACTTTTTCATACTCTGCTGTAACATTTGATTAAGTCATACCGTAAGTTTCGGGTATTTTATTCGCGTGAAGTATACGCTAACTACTATCATATGATAGCAGAGCACACATTTTCGATTTTCTAAGACACCAGACAAAATGCTTCATGCACATCAATACAATACTACTCTGGCGTGATCAGAGAAAGTAAGATTTATGAATCAGTAATGTGAAGTGAAAAAGTTCACTTTTTCTACAAGTACATTCGTGATATCCTTCTGTTTAGAATGTTTATTCTTTATGGTAAATGATATAGAAACTACCACAGACTCATCAATCAGTCATTCAGTTGCAAGGTAGAACTTCGTACGTATGTACATAAAAGTTAGGTTGACACACCACATCAGCACAGAGACGCAACTGTCAATTCAAATCCAACAGTGATAGCAATAATAGAAGTATTAGCAGTAATGGAGAAGATTAGGGAGCGAAAATATGATTCGAGAAGAAAAAATTAGTATAATTCAGTAAGATAAATTTAGAAGGAGAAAGATAGAGATGATTAGAAATTTAGATTAGAATTTGATAGAACACAAAGAATGGATGCACCTGTGCCACTGCTAACGATTCTGAGCCATGTCGTTCAAGGTCTCTAACCATTGATGACTTTCGTCTCGCGGACCCCAACCGGGTAGTTGACACCTACCAAAATGACTCAGTCCACTTGTCAGTGACTTCATGGATTTCTGACATGTTTTGGTTTGGCCGCCCCTAATTTTCCTCAAATCTACTCCTACATTACAAATTATAGCTCGTCGAGGCAGTCGGTGGTTAGACATACGCAACACATGTCCCAACTATCACAGACTCATCAGTAATTTTGGATCCATATTAGAAAACAACATCGCATTCCAATAAGTCGCTGGACGTCGAAACATGATTTATACCATAAACTGATCTTCAATAAAATGACCATCGACTACCTGGAAGCCTTTGTCATTTACTCAGTATTAGATACCACAACTGTTGACATTGACGAGTTCATGAAAGCGAAGCTATGATATTCAGCTCTCAAGGAATAGCACTTAAGTTTTACATTACTATTTCAGCGTATAATACTTCTATCATTTCACAATGTTACGAAACGATTTTCCAATACTATCGATAGGTAACAGTCACCTGACTTAGTTGAACTTGAAATGCTACTTTACAATTACTCATGAGATCAGTTTAATGACGTTCCCATCCGAGAGTGAACTGAATTCTAGGTACCTTGTTAAAAGAATCAGAAATTTTACCTCATTTGAAATAACAAATAGTCAAACAGAGTTAAGTTAACTTTGTCGAGATCACACCAACAGCGCTGTATTTACTTCACAAATGAGAATTTAAACTTGAAATGATTTCGGTACAATTTATTTTATCTTTTCATCACTTCCATCCAATAATATCAATCAATATCTATGCCAAATGTGCATGCATTTCTTCCTTATTATTGAATAAAAAAACCAACTGAAAATCAATAATACACTTTGTTTAAAAATAAAACAAAAGTAGATAGAAAATGAACATGTGTAATTTTCATTTCATCTCATCTCATTGCATACATTGATGATTTGTGGTAGTAGTAGGTAACGTGACATTTTGTGAATTTATAGTTTTGTTTTACCAAAAACGAAGGGCATTATCATTTGTGATAAATGTAAAAGAGGAAGAAAATAAGTACAATCACCACTTGATATGATTAATGTATGTGTATATGTACATAGATAGATCGAAAATAACCTATTTTGACACTGTTCATTTCAATTGTGCAGAGAGATAGATATTAAAGGTTCGATTGGCTTTTGTCAAGCTGCGTCATCTATGGCGCAGGCGAGATATCCGTTTGCTGACTAAAGGACGAGTGTACTGTGCAGTAGTTCGCTCTGTCCTACTCAACGGATGCGAAACATGACCAGTAAGAGTAGAAGATATTCGTAGGTTGTTAGTATTCGATCATAGGTGTCTTCGAAGCATCGCTCGTATATCGTGGGACACCCGAGTGAGCAACGCTGTTATTAGGAAACGGGTGCTAGGTAAGGATGGCAGATCAATAGATGAAGTATTAAAAACTTCGTCAGTTGAGGTGGTTGGGACATGTGCTACGTA